CGCCAGGTCCATTGGATTGCCGCAGTGCTTCCCGTCCGTCCGTCGTTCTATCACCGTCAGCACCTCGGCCATTCCAGGCCAGACCACTCCGTATCGACATGCCAATTCATTCTCCATGCTGGGTCTCCGTCACGGTTCTGGATCTTAGGGGCGCAGAATCTTCGTACGTATTGCTGTGCGGAATACGGGGTTTCTGTCACCAATTCTCGGTGGCTAAGTCGTCTGGCCGAATATGCGCCGCGCCTCATCTCCACGTTTTCCATTCAAAAGTCTCCATCGGCCTCGTCTCGACCTCCAAAGACTCCTCTACAGGCTCAGGCTCCTCTCCACACCTCACCCCCGTCCGGTCCTCCGTCGCGCTTTTTCCGTCAACCGTCATTCGGTACCTGACCGAAACACCCGTACACTACCCAAAGAGGATAAGTCAGTGATCTGCTGCCCAAAGAGGACTGGCGCGCCTCCTGGATCTGCTGTCTTGCCGGCACTGTTCCCCTTCTGGCACCCTCACAGACCGCGACGGCCTAGAACGAATGCAGTCTCGACAGCTCGCTGCCATTTACAGCGATTTCCGTCTGGTCACTGGTCACGAGCCGTCGTGCCTCTTCCCGCCGAAACGGATCGCCGTCCAGCTCGAACCGTGAAGGCAACGTCCATCAACGCCCTGTCCCTGTCGGTCCCTGTCCAGCTGCTCACCTGCCCTGCGGCCTCGTTGCTCTTCTCCGAACCTGGGGGAGGGAAAAAGACTTGTCCTGCCAGAGGCAAAGGGTCCCTGACTCCAGAGTCCCTGAGAACGGAGGGGGGGACAACGCACAAGGAGACCACCAGAAACGCTCGACTCTCGACTGGTTCGCCTGGTTCTACGGTGCCCGTGACTTCGGACCAACCCAAACCGACGCTTTCTCAATCGTCACGGATACTTCGCGGCTTGCCCATCCTTTCCGTCGGGACGACCACCAATCGCTTCCCCGGAAACCCCCTTTTGACTCTTGACGTCTACCAACTGGGCCAAACAGATGCCTGGATTCCGAACGTTCAATTTCCCCAGCATTCGTTGCCGTCCCTGAAGTCCGGATCACGAGTCGCAGGTCTCGCTGCAAATACAGTGCTCCGTTAATTGGATTGCCATGGCATTGTCACCACGAGGAGAGACTTGTCGCAGCTCCTCTTCCACTTTGAGCATCTCCAAACCTACGGGTACCGCTGCTGCGAAACCTTTCGGGACGGAATCCGGCTTCCTTCACGGAAAGACAAAGTGAGGGAGACATCCTTCGGCAACTGGCAGTGCCCGTCTGTGTCCACGAGACTATCTCTCATGGCGGCTGCATAGCCCTCGATAGTGTCGACTTCTCTACAGTGAGTTGGCACCAAGCAGTTTGCTTGGGCCCGGACCCGCGACGGTGACAAGGTCAATTCGTCGTCGCCAAATTTGGTTGCGGACGAATCGGCGACGGCCCGTCCTTCAGCGCTGACACGGCGATGTGACATGCTCTGACCCCCTCGCCGGCTTGCGACTTTGCTGCTTGACTGGTTGCGGCAGCGCGTCTGCGCTCGCCCCAAATCGACCGCGTGATGATGTCCATCACTTGGGTCATCAACAAATCCTGCCGCTTGTCGCCTGTCTGCCGCCCGCCCACAAAGCTCAGCCCTCGTGAGACTTCAGTAATGACAAGGGACGGCAATAACAACAGTCACTGTCAGTGTTGATCGCAAGGAGGCATCCTATCTACAGACATGCACATCAGCCAAGCGACAAGTTGGAACCTGGCATCGATGATGAACTCAACCGCCTTGCTTGCTCATCGCCTCATTACTTACCCCGCGGTTGGTTGCCAGAATGTCATGGGATCCAGTGTTCATCAACGGGCTGAACAGGGGGTCGGGGGGAATCAACAGGCAGATGGGCGCTTTGTGGGCTCTCCCGCGCCCCGGAATGAGTTGTTCTTCTTGCTCACGAGAGACACTTGTGCCAACTCAGAGGTCAAAAGAAGAAGGCCAAGACGTATGCAGTCGGTGTCAGAAGGCATGGTTGAGACTCATCAGTCCTGAGGGACGACAAAACAGCGTGCCAGACCTTCGTTGAACCTTCGAGGCTTCTTTGGTTCCTGAACCAGGCGAGACATACGTTCCCAAACTCTCAAGCCCCGGCATGGGTCAAATAGTCACCAGGCCCCAAAACGTGCCTTTTGGGGAACTTTGGGGAGGCTGCAATTGGACCCTTGAAACGTCACATTTCCTTCAATGCAGTTGCTGGAGATTGGCGTTCATCTCACCTCACCGTTGCTGGTCATTCAGCTCAGATCGTTCTTCTCCCACTAGACCACCAGCAAAGCCCTACAATTCAGAGTTTCAGGCTTTCAGGCTTTGGTCACGGTCCATGTGGTTTACTCATCGCGCAGTGACCGCCACTTGTTTGACAACTCACATTTCCAACTCAACGCAAAAGCAACGTTTGTCGTTCGATTGGGACCTTGCTTGACAACAGTTTGGTCAAGTGACGGGTTGCCTCTGGAAGCCCAAGTTAAGCCAACACCGACAACCCCACGCCTCGTTACCGTGAGGCAAACACTGCAGCCGGGGGGGCTGAAGCCACCACTCTTGACCTCTTTTCCCTCACGCTGAAGCCGCGCCACGCCTGGCATCACGGCGACCGTCAGCGCGGGATGCTAGTTCGGTGGGAGCACCCGTCCGTCCGTCACGGTTGGCGGAGCGGCCAATACCCCTACTCTCCGTGGTCATCTGTCACCCTTGAGGCAAAAGATGACTGGAGGATTCTGGCTTGCCTGTCTCGCTGTATCCTTGAAGGTTGAAGACCAACGTACACGGCACTTTGATACGGGGTTTCGGCGCCATCGTCGATGGGGAGCTTCGCCCTCGTCAAGCCCAAATTGACAATGGCAGAGTAAAATATTACCTGGCAGGGACACTTGTCGTGACGCCGTCAGCTTGGTGTTCGCTTCGCAGAAAACGGTCTCCGGGGGACCACGATGTCGCTTCCGTGACCATCTAACAGTCCCGAGGGCGCGGTAATGTGGTAATCATACGTCGTGTGGAGCTAATGGGAAATGGACAGGCCCTATCATCCTGCTCCAACTTCCCCCGACAACGGACAGGGAGACAAGACGGAGCCCGCGAGTAACATGATCGTGAGAAGACGCGAACATGGTGACGATCATACGAGGCAGGAGGGGGGGGAAAGCGTTGTCCTGGCCCTGCAGAGATGCGGATATCGCTTGCGAATATGATGATTCGCGACACGAAGCCAACGGCGCCGTTGGAGCTTTTTTCGAGGAACAATCAACTCGATCCTTCCCAAACTCCCGGATGCCGGTGTGCATGGGTTCTAAGATGAAGACTACGGCGCAAGCCATAATCGAACTGGGTACCCGGTGAGCATTTAATCGACCGATGGCGCGACAAACAATTGTCGGTCCCGACTCCTAAGTTGCGCCTCGAGCCGGGGGCATACGAGCAGTGTACGAAATAGACATGGCCGAAGAAGATGAGACGGGCTTGGTTCCAACAACCCGGATTGTCGGTATCGTGGGACTGTCAGGAGTGTCGTTAAACTGACTGTTGGTTTTCCCTCCCTCGGCTACGAATATAACCCATGGCGTTGCGAGTGTGCGACAGGCCAACGGTGATGGGTGAAAACCGATATCCCATGGCCCATGCCATCATTCACACGAGGACGGAGCATTCACCTGAAGTTGGCCTCAGCCGGGATGGAGAGGGGGGAAGCGGCCCGGTTCTGGAAGGCCAACTGATGCATCCCAATCAAATTGACTTTGCTACACCTGGTCACCGGTAGAGGGATTGGGAAGGCGATAAATCACATAAAAATCCCAAGAACCGGGGACGGCGCAGAGCACTCCACCACTCATGATCCACTGCTCTTGTGGTTGGTTGGGCACAAGTTCGCAACAGAGGGGGGGGAAATCGTACGCCTCCTCACCTCGGCCTGGCTCGCGGTACTTCTTCGCTTCGCCGCACACAAACCCAGGTCCGCCAAGGTGAGGAGAAGCCTGTGAAGGTGAAGAGGTGTGGGAGTTGGAGATTGGAGAGGGGGTAAACTGCATGGTCTCTCGAGCAAACGGGTCCAACAGCCATCGCCAACGACGACAATTACGACTTCTCTCTCAAAGGTTCCCAGGGGACTGGACGACGACACCCATGATGAGACGAAAAGGGCCGGGTCCCCAGTTCACTTGACTTTTGACCTCACACATCTGATTATTATTAAATTTTGCTCTCTCTGCTGGTCACTGTTTGCGCACGCCTTGTCGGCTACAGCGAAATGATGCGTCGCATCGGCCGAGAGATTGGGACCTCGGGAATTCTGGAGCATAGAGTTTGTGCCTAGTGATCCCTACGGCGCCTCGGCCCTCAGCTTTGGGAGAGATGGGTGGTAAGTAACATTGACTGATAACATCATCGCCAGCCTACGGATACAAGTACGTAAGGGGGGACTGTTGGTGGTGTTTACACTCGAAAAAATGGCAGAGCACGGAATACCTATGGATAGGTGTGTGTGCCTCTGCCATCCTGGACACGATGCAGGGGTTTGTCAATCGGGCTTCCACAACGGGAAATCAATGTGGGGGGAGGGAGGGAGGAAGGGAGCGCAGGTTCTCAGTAGGTCGGCGGACGGGGCCGCTTCCGGCGCGTTGGGCCCCGAACTCTCTGACAGTGAAGCACCAGGAAGGAATTGCGGAATTTCCTAGGCCGCCCGCGGCCGGGTCAGCTGGTGACGTCCGAAAAAGCAAAGACTTTGGGAGTTCCGTCTTTGCGCGCGGTGCAAGTACGAAGTATTGTTGGCTTTTAGCCAAGGTGAAGCTGGTTCGAATTACGCAACCATCGTGCTTAGGATGCGCGGGATGCGTTTACCGGATTTTGGGGGTATGTTGGGTGATGTGAGTCAACTATCGCGCGGTTCGACGGCGTTTGAAGCATCGTGATCTAAATTTTTTTTTTTTGGGAATCATTGGTGCGTTTGCGTGTTCGAGTGTTTGGATTGTAAACAGTAAGAGTCTGCCTCTCTTGAGACTTTATTTTGTTGTCTGTTGCGTTCAGTTGTTTCCAGGGCTTGATGAAAGATTGCAAGCATATATTCCATCGGGTATACTCCTTGACGTGGCTGAAGGCGGCGGTCAGATACGCAAAAATTGAAGTGCAAAATGGAAAAGCCCAGCGGCGGCTCGCGGGCCGGCGACTCTTCCGTCCGAAAAGGGATGGGATGGGTGACCGACCGACCGACCAAACCCCCACGCGCAGTTGGACAAAGTTCCCTTCCCTCCCTCCCTCCCTCCCTCCCAAGTTGCAGACGTGCAAACTGCCCTGCGGCTCCGGGGCGGCCACCCCCCCACGCGCGCAACGAGCTTGGTACGGAAACCTAGGAGCCATATGGCATTGGCAGGTTGGCATTGGTACCAGAGGCTGCACACCAACTTCTTTGGGGACCCTTGGTGTCGGGTATAGGTGGTTTGAATGTAACCACACGGGCATGGCTAAAGTCCCCCCTCGCCCATTTTATTGTAAGAGGTTTTGCAAACAGGCGCGGACACACACACGCATGCAGGCCTACCGGAGAGGTAATCTGAGCGGTGTACGGATACGGTGTAGGGAGATGTTACGTGACGGCGTAGAGGCTTGGAGGATCTTATCGTGGCTCATGGAAATTAGAGGGGGGGAGGCTTCTTTGCTTCCTTCGAGAAGGTTTCCGGCTTGGTGAGTGTTGGGTTGTGTGGGGTGGTCACGAGGGTGAGAGTGTTGATGAAGCTGAAGCCGGAGATGTGAGAATCTAAAGGGCAAGGGGATGGATGTATCATGGGATGGTGAGATATTTCCAGCATTGAGTGGTTCTGTACGTGGGGGGCAGGGTTCCGTAACTCAATTTTCTTTAGTAAGTGCCGCGCTTATTCTTTGTTACTATTATTTATTGATTTGCTTTGCTCTCTCATGGAGTGAGGTGGGATACCAAGTTCAAGTTGATCCCGCGTTTCATGCAATAGTCCAAGCTACGGGGTGTGCGGGTTCACTAGGCTCTTCTCGATACCGAGGGAACATTCATGAGTAGGTTGGTATGTACGGAGTACGGATACTCATCGCTTGGGAGATGGGGGGAGCTGATATCGCCATGGCCGCGATTATGTCGATCCGTCTTGGGGGTCTACCATAAGGGAGAGTTTGGTGTATTTGAGATGCTGTGCCTGAGCGGCATGTTACCTTGTGGTATCGTTTGGTCCATTGAGGACGGGAGAGGAAAACACGTGGGGATGGTGATTTGCCGTGTTGTTATCGGAGTACAAGCAATTATCGTTTACAAAACGGCATCAGACTTTGTTTCTCCTTCATCGATCGGTAACTTCCCTCTCTCTTTGCGTGATCTTGCGGATCACATTTCACTTGATAAGTACAGGTATTGAGGCATGTTACTTGACATGGCGGATAGTAGCCGATTTGGAGATTCCGACTATCTTTGAAATGGCGTTGGGCGCGGAACAATAAAAACCGAGACTTGTTCTATCACAACTCAGAAAATGATATTGTCTTGTCAGCATTTTTAAACTTTGAAAGGGTTTAGAATCATGATAAATCTGGAAACCAGTTTCAGAGAATGCATGCAAAGCTGAATGGGCACACTACAGATGCATTCACGTCGTCAAATCGTAAACGGAGGGAGGGCCCCCCCGTTTCCCGACGATCCGGGGTTGCTTTGACACTTCACCGACGATCGTTCGGCAGAGGTTGAAGACCACCCTGTCTGGCAGTTTGGCGCGCAGGGAGGACGGGAAGAGGGAAAGCGGCGCCTGGAGCGGCGGCGGCGGCGGCAGCGGTATGCGGCAACGGTAATGGTAACGGCAACGGCGTATGACCTTGCATTGTAAAGTGACGATCTTTACTCATTCTTCTTGTTGTGATTCAATGACGGCCCCGACGGGAGAAGCTTAATGACTAGTAGACTCTTTGCGCAGTACACCATGGGATAAAGTGACAGATTGATAGAGCAATAGAGTTGATGATTGCGTAGGTACGTTCACGGTTCCGCCCTTCTACCCCCTCCCGCTGTCAGAATCTGTTTCGGGAATGCTCAGCTGACCTCCCATCTCGTCATTTGTGACGGCGAGTCGCGCGGGACAGGCCTGAGTTCTTTTCTCCACCCGCGGAGAGACTGGTCAGCTTCCCCGGAAGACAGGGGGGCTTTGGCTTTGGCTTTCCCATCTTGGGATTGTCTTTGCGGTTTGTGTGGGATGTCATTGGAGGAAGTGGTTATTTTGAGAGACGGAGTTTGGATGAGGTGATAGGATTGCAGCGACTTTGGGGGAACAAACTCCAAACGGCGAACGGTTTTTTTTTTCCTTTGGGGCATTGAGCAGGGCAGGCGTGGGCATGGGTAAAATTCGATGAGATGCAGCTGAGTCCGTGTCCGCGGTACGGACGTTATGCGCGTGACTGCAGGCCAGGATGGGTGCAAGTTGTTGTGTAGGAGTGTGCATTTTCTTATTTCAGTAAACCGTTCTTCTGGGGTTGCGACGTTGGTGGTTGAGATCCAAGGGGGGGAACTTCTGTGTGAGTGGTGTGGGAGTAAGTCGTTGATTAGAGAATGGCTTTACGTTGCTACGTCTCGGCCTGCGGTTTGTGCCTAGTCTCCGGTAGCTGCACGACAGCCGATATGGTTGAAACCCTCTTGATCGATCAACAGACAAGACACGCGAAGTGTTGCTTGGAGGGTTTTCTAGATTGGTGCAGGTGACGTTGCTATTCACTGCATGTCCGGTTGAAGCGCACGCTCAAACCAGTTCAAGAACATCCAGCCATGTTTGTTTGCTTTTTATCAGACAACTGCCACGCTGGAGGAAAAGCTAAGACATGGGGGACAGGGGAGTCTGATCCGCGGTAGTAAGCTTCAATGTCCTGGTTGGATATCGTTTGGATTGATGTTCATTCACACGGTTGGCAAACAATAGTCGACTGTATCTCCAAATACCATTGATCGGGAAATGTTACGGGCGAATCGGTGGTGTTGGTTCTTCATGGCAATAGATCGCGGCTTGATGCAGCTGTAGCCTGACCAACCTTGGATACGAATGGCTCAACGGGCAATTCTACGGACGTAATGTACAATCCTCTGAATAGGACTGCTTGAACAGCTGAATTCGGCATGAAGCTGTTCTCACCCCTGGTGTCATTGGGACGGTGAAAGCTGAAGCCTGATGGTATTCGTTCCCGCCAGTCCGGGGGGTAGCGGTGAGGGCGCATGCATGCCTATTTCTATACCACGATCTATTGAGATCCAATGCAATCTTCTCGACACGATGCGATACGATACGATATGCTAGGCAAGGTTTGACCTGCACGGTACATGTAGGCAGGGGAGACGAAGTTACAGATTCTATCCGTACCTCCATACAGTAGTGGCGGAAGATCGAAGCCGGCGCGCGCAGGACGTTTTTCCTGCAGCAGCGGGAACCGGGGAGGAAGTAAGGGGACGAACGGGGGCGCGCGTCAACGTCCGGCGGCAGGCAGGCAAGCGGGCGGACATTTGAGAGTATGACGCGCGGGTCGCAGAGATGGCTACACCGGCGTCCGCCATGGCGGGGAGCGGTGTAAGTTGCAGATTTTAATTTGCTTTGCTTTGCTTTGCTTTCAGTTTGAGGTTGTCACTAAAAGCCCGGAATGTTGACTTTCTAACTCTTATTCTGGTTGATATTGCGATAAATGATAAAAATGAATAGAAAAAAAGAAAAGGATAAAATCAATATTCGACATGTACCCCGTCGCCCGTAAAGGTTGCGCCAATTTTCCAACACCAACGGTATGTTTCGCGGCTTTGCGGCTTAAGGGCCCCCCGCAACGTCGTGGAAGCCCGGTATGTCACTGAACTGAGATATCTATCACCGGACCCAAGCCCAATGTCTCTGATGTGCGGGCGGCGGGACGGAGGGGAAGAGGGTGAGGAGAAGAGGAGAAGGCCGACATGGACCGGATGGCGGCGGGCTTCACTCCTCCGCAGCCTCTGCTTGATTCATGTTCAGCCGACGAAAGGGCAAAAGAAACAAGTCATCTACGGGAGGGCTGAGATGCGCAACGCCCGCCTGCCACGGCTTCACTCGGCCCTCCCAGAGTCAGGCAGGCAGGCTGGCAGGCTGGCTGGCGTGGCAGGCAAGGCGGGAAATCCAAGTCCTGTCTTGTGTAACTCGGCCTTCCCCTCTCTCGCGTCAGAGTTGTGGCGTCTGGATTAGGAATGAGCGGTTGGATGGCGAATGTGCCTGATGATCAGCATGACTAGAACTTCAGGACACAGAGACAGAGACTTTTTGAGCCTCGTTCAGCCGAGTATTTGCTTGCTTTTCTTTGGCAGTGTCGTGAGAGTGTCTTGCACTTCGTAGCTGACTCTGGGGTTGTGAGTTTAAACGTGGCACTGGGGCTTCTTCTTCCTTTGCGGCCTTCTGCGCGGCGGGGAAGGATCTGCGGCCCGGAGTCTTGTTCCGGCCTATCACGCCTCCGGAGAGGTATGTACACGTAAAAAAGGCAGTCGAGCTAATACAGGAAAGTCTACATGTACAGTTGACACCTGTCAACGAGGTCGAATCGTCGAAAGCTAAGGAATTATCGCCGTGATCGTGATTGTCGGCGGGCTTGGCCACCCCGCAAGCCACCAAACTTAGGAATATCACGAACCCCTGCCTGGTAGGCGCCACCCGGCCAATCGCCCGCGGAAGAAGAATAGCGAGGGACTGCAGGGACATACACCTTTCCCGCCGTTGAGATCTGGATCTGACTCTGGAGGGCTTACATCTTGTGATTCGAGACCGAATATCATCATGGCTTGGGAAGGCATGAAAGGGCTTGTTTGGGGAGGTGCAGAGCAGCAACCGAAGTGTCATCGATGGCTCGTGATTCGGCACAATGGCTGGACTTTGTCCCTTCTTCTATCAGTTTTCACCTCTCGAGGGGGGGTTAGTGAACTATAGAGGCGGCACCGCTCAAACTTTGGGCGTTTGCATCTGGGGACTAGGTGTCGATAGTCGTCTCAATGATTTGCTTCTCTTGCTGTATTGCACCGTGTGCTGAGTCGTCTGAGAAGACTCGTTGCCTGCGGCTTAACGCGATGTGTTGGCAACATTGAATCGCAAACACGCCGGGGGGCTGGAGTTTGAGGCACACCAACGATGGTTTGTGGCGCTAGTAAGTACGGGGAGATCAGTGTCGCTTCCCGTCCAGGGACATCAAATTGCTGCCGTAAATTCTGGCCAATGATGGAATGTCCATTGAGCCATGTCAATGGTTGTCACACCTGTCGCTTCAGAAATTCTTATCATTGCAAAAGTCTCTCTCATCCTGAGGGATGTATCCATAGGGATGTATCCATATCCTAGGTAGCAAACTGACATGAAATACTCGTCAACGTTCGTGACGAAGATCTGGTAACTTTGCCTGCCGCGATTACGTAGACGCTTGTGCCATGGGGATGGAGACTTGGAGAGGCTGCCAGATTGGCGAGGCACCAGTGCTTGGGACCGGATCTTGGAGTGGCCACGGCGTTCATCGATGATGCAAATAATTGGGGTAATAAGAGAATACCGAGTGGTTCCCGAGCTGATGATCTGCAGGCTGGTGGTAGCTTGAACATGTACGTCTGTTTGCCCGCATTCCTGTAAGGTACAGCAATTCATTGCATCAACAATGGCAAAGTGTCAAACGTCAATAGACCCAGATCGAGAAGCCTGACGAATGCCACATGTGTCATTGTCGTGATACTATAACGTCAATCGAATATCACAGGTTCACCGACAGGAATTCGGTTAACTAAAATGAAAAACGGAGACTAGATATTATTTTATTTTATTCTGCGTCACAAGATAAATCATTAGTCTGAGTCTGTTTTATTTAATATTTGAAAATGATAATCTGTCACATATTCCAAGCTGAGAATGTTGACCAC